AGCTCACCAAAGTCAGGATCCAGGCAGAAAACAAACATTTCAGTTTTTACCCAAATTGGCCAAAATCTGAAAAGTTTTCCATATCCGCGGTCATCAAAAATACTGATTTTTGGCCCCAAAATCCAACTTCACGAAATTTGGTCAAATGTTCACACAAGGTGGGTAGAGGCCAGAAATACATCCCCAAGAGATATCAGCTCACCAAAGTCAGGATCCAGGCAGAAAAGAAACATTTCAGTTTTTGAGCCAATATGGCCAAAATCTGAAAAGTTTTCCATATCCGCGGTCATCAAAAATACTGATGTTTAGCCTAAAAATCCAACTTCACAAAATTTGGTCAAATATTCACACAAGGTGGGTAGAGGCCAGAAATGCATCCCCAAGAGATTTCAGCTCACCAGAGTCAGGATCCAGGCAGAAAACAAAAAATTTCATATTTTTACCGAAAATGGTCGAATTCTGAAAAGTTTTCCATATCCGCAGTCATCAAAAATACTGATTTTGGACCCAAAAATCCAACTTCACGAAATCAAGTGAAATTGTTCACACAACGTGGGTAGAGGCTGGAAATGAATCCCCAAGAGATTTTAGCTCACCAAAGTCAGGATCCGGGAAGAAAACAAACATTTAATGTGTTTTACCAAAATGGCCGAAAACTAAAAACTTGTCCTCACCTGGACCACTTCTGCCTTGCTGGCACCAGCGGATGCAAACATAGCACAGCGGGCGGAGTTGATGACTGGGTAGGTCAAGGTCACTCGACACGGTGGAGGTTTAGGGGAATCATCGATGGGAGCAACTATCAGAGACTCCTCCTATTGGTGGGTAAAATACATTCAATTAAATATTAAGTGTCTTTTCATACTCCTATATAAAAATACAGTGTAGTGTATATATTCAATGAAACAATTCAGAACATTTTGAAATTTTTGTCAATTAAGTGAATTTTGAAACTCTGGAATGACACAATTCAGAAAATTTTGAGATTTTTGTCAATTAAGTGAATTGTTTAAGCTCTGGAAGGAGCTTCTAGTGTGGTCAGTCTGTCTGTCAGTCTGTCTGTCCCCACAAAACTGACCAAAAGTATGGTGTTCCATATGTGCCATCAGCGTCGCATTTTTCGGCGTCGCATTTTTCAGTTCTAGCAAGGATTGTTTTCATTGATTTCATGCAAGACTTCTTGCAACATGGCCATATTAAGCACTCGCACTTGCGCTGTACAACATCTTCCTCGAACCAGGCCAATTTGTGCAGTGGTTGGACGGTATTCTCCAGGAGGAAATGTCCCTAAGAGGTGGGCAGGGTGCGATTTTTCAGCTCTCGCAGGAGCTTCTATATGTTACTTGGTGGTCAGTCGGATGGTCCGTCTGTCTGTCCTGAAAATTTACCAAAGGTGTGGTGTTCCATAGGTGCCATCGGCGTCGCATATGTCACTATAGCTTATTGTGCACTTGCACTTGTTTTTCTGGTACGTAAGTAAGTCTTTGATTTCTTGGTTAGTGGTCTTGGGAAAAAAAGTCACCTTTAACAGCTTGTGGCCAGGGAATAAGGAACAAGTGTGGCCATCAGGTCCCATCCCAAGAACCAGGAGATCAAAGACTGGTAACTTGTCTCCCCCGGAGGGTACAATGCCAACTTTGGCCGAGTAGTCCTTGGCTGCATCAGCGACAGACAGCGACGGATCAATGGGGTAGATCTGACTTTCTGGAAGGTTGACCTTTCCTATCAGTTCCTGTGAAAGAAAGTAGTAATATACCACAGTAATTTTATTTACTATTTTCTTTTAAAATCATGAACAAATGATGAAAATTAACAACAAAACAAATCAGAGTAAAAAGTCCTCCATACAAAAAAAATGTACAGGTCAAAAACACTTAAATGTTATGCGGTCCAGCTAAATGAGTCGTTTGTCTGGCATTTTCATTTGAAGATTCAGGCTAAAATAGGGCCACTTCATCACATCACTTCATCACATCTCTTGGTGTTCCGACTTCCATAATTTTTTAACTAAAGATGGTGCCAGCATGCGGTTTTCACAGCAGTAGTGCTGAGATTGTGTTCTTTTCAAATCTGTAAAAAAAAAAATGTCTAGGGTCGAATAACGAATCATTTAGCTTGATCGCATCACAAATGTGTATTTGAGAATTATTTGAATGACTTAATTTTGACTATAACTATAGGCCTATTAAATGTTAGAGTCAATATAGGGAAAATATTCTTAATTTTTTGGGATGAAAAAAGGAAAATTCGAAAATGTCGCTAGCCAGTAGTTCACAAGTTGAACTAGGGATCGCTCACTCATAAAAAATACGCGCTATCCACTCAGCCACAGGTGCTACACAAACGTAGTTTAACCCAAACCATTCTTGATCCTCCAAAATCCCCTTTGCAAATTTGAGGAATTTGCAAGATTGAGCCTACATGGCAAAAGTGTGTTGCTGATTTCGGAGGACGCACTGTGTCAAGGTCTTGGGCCAGACCTTGTGTCGTTTATGCTCAGCCATGCATACATTTAGGCCTAGATTATACTTGAAATCCTCCCACTGCTCCAAAATATCAATTTCTCTACCTCAATATAGTGACAGTGATTGCCGGAGGAGTTTGCAGGATTGAGGCAGTGGTCACCCCTCCAATGAACACATTCAAGAAATAACGGAGGATTTTGCAGGATTGAGGTTACATCTTAGCAAAAAGACCGGGAAAAGTTCCATACTCGGACGTCAATTTATCTGCTGCCAAACATATTAATTGTCACCTCACCTTGTCATTTGAACCAAGAGAAATCCAGGAAGCTGTGTTAAGGTGAAAAAAATTTACTCAAAATGTGTTTTTAGAGCACATTTTGGATGCATACGTCGTGCAGAACTAGCTTGAAGCAGCCGGTCAAAACTGATTGTAGTGGCTGAAAGACAGCGTTACGTTATACACGTGACATCAACAACCATGACGTCGCATGAGCCTGCCAATGATAGTGCAATACGTCATTATGAATATTTATTTTCTCATGAACATGATGAATATTTAGTTTATTTCAATGGATACTTCAAATACGTCCAAAGATTGATTAGTGCAACAGCGATCGTGCGCGGCCTAGCGGTTAAGAGTCTCGTGTATCAAGCAAGCGCCAGAGGTTCGAATCCCGATGAAGTAACTGACTGATTAATAAATAGAAATTAAGGAAAGGAGAGGGTGAGAGTAGAGGAGGGAAAGTGGAGGAATAACCATAAAAGATGCAACTTTTGGCGCTAGAAAAATAATTGAAAAAAGTGACGTCCGAGTACGGAATTTTTTCCAAAAGACCTTGGGAGTTGTTATACCTTTTATAATGTAGACACAGTCAAAGAGGGCGCTGCACAATCAAGCAGGCTTAATATCCAGCTCAATACTTGTAAAAGGCCCAGTAATAATTAATATGTTATGAAAAGGCAGTGTACATTCAGCCGGTGCAGGGTAAATTTAGGTAGACAACATTTTGCCGGCTAAGCACTGAACATGCACCTGACTTTTTTGGGGACTTAGACATTTTCACTGTGACAAATCTTATAGTCTTGCTTTGCGCCAACATTGTTGTTGTGACTTTGTATTCACGAAATGGGAATCAGACCATTTTACAATTTCGGACTTAATTTCCCTTTGGACGGACGTTTTTGTACTTAGTTGGCGTTTTGTATAGCAAACAGTTTAGCGGGGTAATCTGCCTATGAGGCTCCACTACCACTACATGGAGCCTCATAGTTCTAGGAGTACTCCCACCCATGAGTTACACGCTCTATCCACAAGGCCACAGGTCTTCTTGCGCATCCGATGGTGGTAATTTAATATCTTTTACAATATAGGGGTTGCTGTACAACCTAACTGGCAAAATAACATTTACTGAAAATTAGCCGGCGCTGGCTAAATACACTTCCAAGTTCCTATCATTAAAAGTAAAGAAGAAAATTACTCTGTATATCTTGTACGTGCTATCACCGTCCTCAAACGGTACCAGCCTCTCATCGCAGAAAAACACATGCCACTTATCCCACTCCACACCCTGGATTTTAGGCAGGCCCTCGACCATGAACTTAGCGACACTGCCGCCCGACACGCCGAGGTAGAACGCCCCTCGCTCCCGTACGGCCGCTTTGCTCTGCTCGGCGACGAAGTCGCACACGGCCGTTGGAATATCGGCTGTCGGTAAAACATGAACTTTTCTTCCAGGCATGGCGAAATGGTGATGTCTAGATTGCTCTCCCGATTTCTTACTCTTTTTACTAAACGAGATTCCCAGCTGGAACAGATCTCCGGAGACTGTTATTTTTGTTAAAAACTTCCGAAGCCGACGACGCAGAACCAAAACACGGAAGTTTACAAGTGAGGCTGGTACCTATCCTACTCGTGCGCCATGCGTATTGAGCAAAGGCCAATACGTTGGTACCAGTCTAGATTTCATGCGTGGGATCACCACTTGAGGGCGCTGTTTATTACAGTAAGCCATTATTACAAACCAAAAATAAAAAAATAAATACAACCAAATTAGCCTGTTGTAATTAATTGTTTGGTTACTTGCGCAAAAAATATGACAAGTGTCAAATAATTTGACTCAACAACCTATCAAAGATGATATTTAGGCTAGATTTATTTTGTTTTATCTGTATATTTTATGAGCAATTTGATTTATTATAACTTTCGGTTTTGTCTGATTCAGATGCCATACATGATACAAAGACACGCATGTAGTTGCCATAACGGCGGAAACTCATTGTAATTTTCCTGCAATATTGATTATATCGTTCCGCGAGTTTTAGTAGCGTCTTATTAGCATTCTAGGGACACAGTTTATATAAAAATTGAATAAAACATGCCTGCAAATGTTGTTTTCTTTTCTTTTATATACAATTAATTGGGCTTGTGCTAAATCTTTGTACTTATTACCTCCAGGGTAGATCTATTTTGTTTCGATATGCAAACAATGGTTACTTACATATAATGAATATGCACATTTGTTGGTTGTCAATGAATACATTTTACGAGAGATGATCGAGAGGCTTCTTTCGATACTTTTTTTTAGTGGATTTTTTGGTATATATCTTCTTCAAGAACGTTCTTTTGTGCTAAATAAGTCTCGAGGTTTCCTTAATCTTTATCGAAAATGACAAGAACCGGCTGGTGAGTCTTCTTATTCATGCGATTTGGAAATGGATATATATGTTTTTCTCAACAATTTCGATTTTCGTATTTTTCTTGTGAAGTCTGAAACCCTGTGCTACTAGTATGTATTAATATGTGTTGTAGCCAAACACTATTATGGGTACCAGTCTATTCTGATTACTTTCAGGAAAAGTCATTTGATTCATGATTGTAATGTTTGTTTGTTTTCTTTCGTTTTACGTCTACTACTAGGCCTAGTGGCTATCGTTAAGGTAGCCGTAACACGATTTTCAACAGTATTGTTAATGTTATGGCATGCCTTTGGTAAACGTTAGACTACTGTGCAGAAGGTACCGGGATCAAATCGGTGATGTCGGAAAGATTTTTTTGTTTTTTTTCTTCAGTAGGCCCCCTAGTTTTCTTTACTTAATGTAAAAAAAAAAAATAAAATCCCACTTTTCATTTGAAGACTTGAGCTTGAAGTCGGCTAACTTCACTTCAGTAGATTTCATATTTTTTCTTACTGATTCATGGTTTTAGTTGTAGACCTAGGCCTACAATTGACCTATCGCCGTTTGCGAGAATAGCCACGCCCCTTAGACAACCCGATGGAATTTTGTACGCTAAGTTTTGTTTGTCTCAGATTTTTTGCATTCCGCATCCATTTGTATTAATAATAATAGCTGCATTGACGCGATTCTACCGCCATTCTACCGTGATAGGTCAATCTTTAACCCTATTCTCCAACTCCATCAAAATCCATACCCCAATTTTGGTGGATTTTGGGGTACTTGGTCCTGCGGGCCTGGTTTGACTAAATATTGATGGGGTATGATGGACGAGGCCTAAAGCAAAGCATGCATTGGAAGCAGTGTGATTGATGGATTTTGGCGGCCTTGGTCCAGTAGAATAAGACTAGAGACAGTAGGGAGTTAAGGTTAATCCATGTAAGTTTTTGATAGCAATTTGGTACGTTACTTTGGGGACAGTCAAACCTCAAGGGAACAGGTTCAAAATATTTGACTTCAGCAGAGTTTTGAGTTAAGCAGGGCTGTATATCATTGTTATACTTCGGAAGGCAATGGATTTTGTGTTCGACTAAACCAATGTAAACAGTTGTTTTTGAGTTATCAGAATTTGACTTATTGAGATATTACTGTAATTGCAAATGATCCTACCTTTGTATATTCTGTGGACAGCTAGCTGCAGGGCAGCACAGGGCCCAAGATGAGCAAGAAGTCTACTCCTAGCAAGGCGGGAGTGACATACAGGACCAGCTCCCGCAGGAACGGTTGGAGCTGTCCTCCTCACCCGCTGCAGTTTGTCGCTTGGATCTTCATCGCCGCCTTCGCAGTGATGTTCCATGGCATGGCCGTACCCACCATTCCGTATCATTGGCAGCCGGCCTGTCACATGGTATCCTTTTAATTACTTCTAAAATAGGAAACTTTAATAACTATTGTTTATTTTTGCAGTATTGGGCTGTTGGCCTTCCATAGTTTGCCAACCTGTTAAAAAAGTGCCAACCGTGGGTTAGTAAACAAAGGTCATGTACCGATACTTTGCCATGCAAAGCATCACATCGTTTACACAGTGTAGACCACTGCAGATCAGGGACAATTCAAAATCCAAAATCCGAACACAAAATCTGCAACGTATGCGACAACCAGAAGATGGTGTTTGTACGTGGACGAACAAATCCAGATATAGATACAGAATTTCAGTTTCCAGTCTTGCTTCCATAACCCCATGTCACCACAGATCGTGGGTGTCGTGCTCGCCGTGCACGTCATAACGCACCTGGTGTGCCTGACCATCAACCCAGCTGACCCCAGCACCCTGCGCAGAGACAAGAAGGCCATGCCGGAGTTTGACCGGACCCAGCACAAGCACGTCATAGAGAACAACCACTGCTACCTCTGTGAGGTGGACGTGTAAGTAGTTCTAATTCGCTGGATTGGTCGTGACGTAACTCGGAGGTCAACTCGGTGCAACCATGATTACTGGTCCATGCGCACTGCAATGAGCCAGTGAAGACCGTGGTTTCGCTGTGGCTGTTTTGAATCCATTTTATAATTGTCTTGGTTCTCCCCTGTGAAGTGAAAATAAGCACAACTGTGGTTGTAACGGGGCCCGATTTCATAGCGCTGCTTAACAGCTGACTTTGTGCTTACCGAGCCTCCATCTGTTTCATAGGGACCGTTAAGCAGTAAGCACAGTAAAAGCACGCTTAACCCCAGAAGAAAACTTTGCTTAAATCAGTGACGTAACAATAGAAATCTCCATGCGCGCTCAACCTTTAGCATGAAATAGTGCTTAAGCAGCAGCATGATTTTCTGCTATAGTAAGCACAACTTTTCTGCTTACTGTTAAGCAGTGCTATGTAATTGGGCCCTGGTGTGGTGACAATCTGCTGAAAGGCAGTGAACCATTTTCAGGTAGTTTGTACTTTGTGAAAATGTTCTATAAAAGTAGGATGTAAAATTGCTGTCTGTGATCGTGTGTGTTAAAGTTAAACACATGAAATTTGACGTAATGGAATGCACGTGAACCGTTGTTGGGGAAGTAAGCCTGACCTTCGGAAGGAGGTGATGTCACAAAAGGGAGCGTCTCAAAAGTCGGAACATTCCCGTTCAGTATGTAACGTCGGTATTAGAAACATTGTGTTTCCGTTCCAGAGTAAGAGTAAGAGGCTGTTCCAGAGTAAGCGTGCCCGCGCACAGTTCGAATAATCAAGCGTTTAATTGTTCGAAAATGCACATATCTACTAGTTTTTCCAACAGGTCTCGATAAGGTTTATTCTTGGGCTCTGCTTCCAATTGTTTATTCTGGTAGCCCTTTGTTCCATGTCCTCAGTTGTAAAGTATAACCTCTGCAAGAAACTCGGGTTCATTGCTTCAGGGCCAAAAAACATGTTCTTAAAGGATGCTTTAAAGAGACTATGCAACATTTGAAAGCATCGAAAAACAAAACTACCAAATTTTTATGAAATACCTTACTAGGATGTTGGTAAATGACAGTCAAAGCATCCTGTAAAATTATGGCACCTGGTGTATGTGAAGTAATTTTCAAGAAAAGTTGTATTTTTGTATTAATTTCCAACGGTGGTCGGCCGACCACCGTTGGAAAAACCTCACTATTTTTCAACTACTGCTCCAAATTTACAATTTTTTTTTTTCAGTTCAAATTTTTTTTGCTATTGGTTACATGTTCATGAAAGAGTGCAGGCCAGCTAGACTGGTTCCCTCACATTACAATTTTCCGGCATCTATAAATTGATCCATTTCATCTTTAGTGGAGTCAGGGAACCAGACTACTTGAACAGTTTTGTTTTTCTTGGTTTTTCCAGCATTTTCGAACACAAAACTTCAAACACGTCAGTGTAACAATATTTGATCTATTATACTAACCCCTCAATTAGTTCATTTCTGAAAAATCACAGCAAAAACCAATGATGTACATTCCCTTTAATCATCCTGCTTGCTGAATGAAGCATCCTTAAAAGACCATTTCAGATGTTTTGGTTGCACATTTCCAGCCAAAATACATGTACAGATACATGATTTCAAATTCACCAATGTTTGACTATCTTTGATTCTAATTTGACACTGTTGTTTGTTTTATCACCCCTGCAGTGGCTTGAGATCCAAGCATTGTAGTTCGTGCAATAAGTGCGTTGCTGATTTTGATCACCATTGCAAATGGCTGAACAACTGTGTGGGCTCCAGAAACTACAGGTAAGTTGCAGTTTTGAAGTTAACAAATAAATATTAAAAATACAGTTGTGAAAAATTGTACTTCACTGGTGTTTGTAGGCTGTGTCAGTTTAAAACTACAACGAGTTATAAATTCCCAGTACACTGTCATTCTAACTATTCCTCATCAGACATACAGTATTAATGGAAAGGTTGTAGAACTTAATTCCCACATTTCATTTGCTTGTGGTAATCTTTAAAACAAAAAATACAAAATTCTTTTGCCTCGTACTTTAACCCTAACTGTTTTTTTGCTTAGAATCTTCCGCATTTCTCCAAAAAGCATCCTCCAAAAACCATCTCTGTACTGGTTTAAAACCAATGGCACAATTTTTCTTCACGATAAACAGAAGGACTTCACAGCCAGAAGCGGTGCGATGAGTATAATCTCAGCAAGATTTATACATGGCTAAGGCCAAAAAAAATAACAATAGTTCTGCTTCCGATTTCATGGCATTTGAAAATAGGGTAGGTAGGTAGGGAATTTTTTTTTTTTGGCAATTTTTTGTGTGTACGATCATATGGAGGCGTCTGCGTGTAGTCAAGGGTAAAAGGTAGAAATTGATGATTTTGGGTGTTTTTTCCTCATTTTTCCTATAAAAAAATTAGAGTAGGGGCTGTCAGAATAGGGTAGGTAGGGAAACCGGAAGCAGAACTATTTTTTTTGTTGGCCTAAGCATAAACACAAAAAGGTGCCATTGACACAATGCATCCTCCAAAATCTACTGGAACAAAAATGGCGTACAGATGATCAATCCTCCAAAATCGCCTGGTTGATTTTTGAGGATTGAGGAGGCTTAGGGTCAATCTTTGACATTCCTAGCGTTCAGACATTTCTGACATTTGTTGTACTAGTTTTATGGTTTATTTGATTGCAGGTGGTTCATCACTTGTCTGGGTTCAGCCTTTCTATGCTGCTTGTTTGTCTTCGCTGTCTTCCTGTACATTTCCATAGTCTACTGGGTCAACCCAAAGCTCCTTCATCCAGAGTTATATGGTAAGTCTTTTGGCAATGCCGTCCCAGTAACTGAGTAGTATCAATAGCTCATATGCTTGATGATTCTCTCATCTAGATAAAGAGTGCCTGTCCTCATGTGTGTGGGAGTGTGGCCTACTGGTTAGGGTTCAGGGCTCGTGATCAGAGGGTCAGGGGTTCGAATCCAGCTGCTGGCCACATGTCGTGTTCTTTGGCAAGCCACTTCAGCCAAACTTGCCTTTCTCTACCCAGGAGTACAAATAGGTACCGGCATTAGCTGGGGAGTAACTGCGATGGACTAGCATTCTGTCAAAGAAATAGAAATATTCTCAGTCGTTTCATGCCAAGGAAACCGGAGATAAACGCCGGCCTGATGGGCCATATTGGCTCGTGACAGACTTAACTTTTTAACTTTTCCTCATGTGAATAACGTTGTGCTCTGAATCCTCTGAGCGATGTGTCTGACTACTATCTTATGGAAAATGTGTTTTGGAGTGCAAAAAGGCACATTCCATTTAAAAGTGCTTTTTTAAAATAAAATTAGTATTAAGAGATTGTTTGCCTACATGTACAACTGATCATCCAGCCTCCGGTTACATAATCACAAGAAGAGGACGTTTCAAAAAATTTAACTTTTTTTAACTGAAAACTGCCTTTTTTTCAAATACTGGCCCCAATTGACCATCGCACTCAATCGTTTACACACCTATGAACGTGTACAGGCCAGCTAGACTGGTTCCCTGACCTTACAATTCTTCTTATATGGAGTCAGGGAACCAGACCACAGGAAAATGATTGTTTTTCTTGGTTTTTATAGCATTTTCGAACCCAAAACCTCAAAAAAGTCAGTGTAACTATATTTGCTATATATTGCCAACCCCCCAATTCCATCCATTTCTGAAAATCACAGCAAAAGCAAATGATGTATATTCCCTTTAAAGAATGATTTCATGATGTGACGGGTAGAATTGCCGAGTGGAATGGAACATTCCCCATCTGTCACCGAATAAAATGATTCTTTCCATTGCACGAATGTGAAACATTTGTTTTATACAACACCTGAATAAATCCTCGTCATCTGATTGGTCAGAGCCACCAATCGTATGACCGTGCAATAGAATTTCTATTTACCATCGAATAGAACTTCTATTTTTGAGGTGCCGCCGGGCCGTGGGTTGGGACGAATAATTCAATGACATGTGATCAATGAACTACCAATTAGATGACGGGGATTTATTTAGCTGTTGCATACAATCTTTTGTCAATGGACGTGGTACAGTACAACATATTGAACAGCATTGTACGCAAGTTGATTTCAGTATAAGGCAAATTCGGAGCATTTGTTTTTCTGTTAAAGATGGTGCTGCAACCACACAGTCAACGGTCACAGCGGAAGAACTGACAACCTCACAACTCCTCAACAACTCAGTGAGTCCAACAACAGACATCTCCGACCCTCTGGTAGCTTACCGGAGCGGTCTCAGGATCTTTGGAGAGGTGTCGGGTACAGCCTTCTTTGTTGTAGCCATTATACTCGCCGTTCTGCTATTAGTAACACTCTGCCTTCTGGGTCATCTTCTTGGCTTCCATATGTTTCTGAGTAAGTATCTTCATGTTGGATTTTAAAAGAAATTATTATATCAAGTCTTGTATGCTGTGTGATTCATTTGTCGAGAGCAGTCATGTTTCTAGTTTAGAGAAAGGATTGTAACACCTCACCCACAGATTTTCTCTTTTGATTGGCCGAGAGCAAATCACATAGCATTCTCTATTTTTTACTACAAATATCTTGTTGTGCACGGCAAAACAAGACTACAAAATAAGTATTCAACCGCTGAAACAGTATTATACGTAAAAACACTCTTCAGATGTTGATCCATGTTCCTATTCCGTTCTTGATTGCAGTCTGCCATGATATGAGCACCTATGACTATGTCATGCAAGACCGCAACGCCTTCATCAGTGGTGACGTGGAAGCACAGCAAAAGAAACCAAAGAAAAAAGGCTGTTGCAAGGTCAGTTGTGTTGTGAAATTATTTTTTTTACAAAATACATGTGTGCAACTCGAAACTCAAGGTCCGTGCAACAGGTACTAAGACACGGAACATTTGAGGGGTGGGGAACAAAAGCATCACAGGAATGGTGAAAGTGAATGCTCCATTCGTGATAATTATTTCGTTCTGTTAAGCTTTCAAATTGTTGGTTAAATTTAACTGTTTGTTTGGCTACCAATTTTTTTGGAAAATTTTGCCAAATTTTAGATTTGTTCTTTATTTTCAGTGCAATAATCAAGTTGCGCCGCTGCAGGAGGCCAAGGAAGAAATTGAAATGACCGACACCAAAAAGTAAGTTACATGTATACCGTTTACTTGCCTGCTGAATGTCATGTGCTTGTTGCTTTATTCTGCTGCAAAAACAACACATACATTAAATACTTGTCTGTTTTTTTCTTCACTTGTCACCATTAATTAAATAGTCATTGTCATACAATTCATTTTGGCTGCTGTTCTTTTACTTGTATAATGTACATTGTATTGTTATCCTTTTCTTCCCTTATATTATCATTTCCTTCCCCGAGATATTACCAGATTTGTCCCTTGTCTGTCTTACTTTTTTGGTTGGTCACATATTTTGCTCCTTTTTTGGCGATCGTGTAAGCTACGGGCCCAGTTCCCTATAAGGGAACAAAATCCATTTTTAAAAATTATTTGGCCTACCACACTAGTTTGCAACGTTATTAGAACATGCAGTTATGTCATAGATAGAGGGCAGGGATTTGAATTTTGGACGGAAATTTTGGGGTAAAATGACGATGGCAACAGCAAGATGCAACACGAAAATAAAGATGGCAATCACCGCGCAAGGTGCGCTGAAATTGGCCCCGTAGGAAAATGTAATTTCTACCCCAAGAAACTGGTCAATATAACAAAACCGATGTCATTAGAATTGAGAGAAGTCTGCTTTCGGTCATTTTTGAGTAATAAAAAAACACCCTTGACTCTAATTTGATCGAAACTAAACAGAGGCGCTTATCTACACGATCGCCCCTTGTTTCTTTCATCCTGCATGTCATTAGTCCTCACACAAGCCCTTCTTACTTGCACAGTTGTTTAATTTTTACCAATTTTCTATTATTTTGTCTCTGTGGACATTATTTTCATTCCCAGTCAAGCCATATTCTACAAGAGTGACCCTCATTTTTCGCATCTTACATACATGTATTTGTTGTCTCCCCACCCCTTGTATGTCACTCCGTGTTGCGCCCTTTCTCACCCTGTGTGATCTGCATCCGTCCCACCATCTATAGTTTCCCCAACATTGTCTTTTTCGCTCTGTGTTTTGTGCTCGTAGGCATAGCAACCGTTGCAACCTTGCATGTCAAAACAAGCTCTCTTCTTGCCGTCCACCCGTGGGGAAAAGCAAAAACATAAACACGCCCAGTTGCCCTCCCTGCCACATATCTACAGCCAAATAGGTACCTATCATTGGCGATCCATTTTGTGTGTTCACATTTCATGTTGATGGAGTCCTGTATAGGTCTCGTTTAAATGACGTCATTTCCTACAGACCACACACGTGCATCGGCATTTTGAGCGTGAACTTGCTTAACGTGCATCGGCTGCGTCGTATTGCGAACACATTTCGAGCAACAAGCGCGCGTGTTTGGACCATTTTCAACACTGTGCAATGCTTGCTTGATTGCGTAAAATACGCAGTTGCAGTTCTCCTACAGAGATGGCCGTCATTGAGCAAGCCCTATTGCAGTTGCATGACCTCATGACTACATATCACTAGAGGAACATTGCCATGACAAGAATGTGGCTGCATCCAATGACATGAATCTTTAAAGGGCATTTTTCCCAGCTTATTTATTTTTCATGTGCAATTGAAAGAGCATACTCTATTTGTTCATTCAAACTGTTGGACCTTCTTATGAAATGTGGACGTTGTAGTGAAAAAGTTGACAGTTCATATTGTATTCCAATATTGTGCAGGTAGCTCCAAAAATAGCACAAAGTCACTGGATCTAGCAATTGAAAGTTAGTCTTGCAATCTACAATGTATACATATTTGATGTGGTATGTCAAAACAAGGCAGGGTTTGGCAGAGCTACAAATAGAGAAACAGCTGCAAAATGACATGGGGGTGATTTTCAGCCATTTTGAGATTTTTTGAAATTTGTGATGCTACATTACTAATGTTTAAATGTGCTGTTGAAATTTCAAACTGAAATTTCATCGACAAAGTATTTTTAAAAACACTTTTAGAGAGGCATGTCATTATACAAAATGACACTTTGTTCAAGATTTTGTTCTGAAATGCGGAAAAATTTGGACAGTCTGATAATTTTAATAACTTTGGTTTGGAATATCCAATTTCAAAAAACAAAGTGGCGTTTGAAAGAGTAAGGTCTATACTTTAGTAAAATTGCAATAACTCAAAATTGACTTCTTGCTCAAAAGTGCCTGATTTTGACTTACCACGTCACATATTTCAAGCCCTTTGGTTTGCATTGCATCCCACCCTTCTCTGCTCTATATGCAAAAAGAACAGTTCAATTAAACTGTCGAACAAGCTATAATTTTCTACTTTCAGCTGGAAATCACAACACAAATTCAAATGCATATAATCAAACTCGATTTCTCTATGATATTCTTTTAACGATTGCTTAACTTGTTCTCTTTTTTTTACCCAATCCAGAGACAGTACCACAAGCCAACTAGAGTCCAACAACAACTCCAACTCCAACCTCCAGCAGCAGCTTGTCATATCAGAGCCTCTCATCAAGCAGGAACAACAGCAGCCCCAGCAACAACTGCAGGACAAACAGGAGCCGCAGAGCGTAACAGTTGCAGACAGCAAACCCAAGGTATTGTACAAATTGAATTGGCAGTAGTAGTCAAGTCTATAAAAGGCCAATGTGGCCCGGCGTTCATCCCCGGTTTCAGTAGCATGAAATGACTGAGAATATATCTAATCCCCCTGGACGGGATGCTAGTCCATCGTGGGTTCTCTCCAGCTAATGCCGGTACCCATTTATACTCCTGGGTGGAGAGAGGCAAGTGGGGTAAAGTGGCTTGCCCAAGGACACAACATTTGGCCAGTGGCTGGATTCGAACCACTGACCCTCTGATCATGAGCCACAAACCCTAACCACTAGGCCACACTCCCCCATTGGTAGTATTAATATTATATCTGGTAATGAAACCCACCCTTAGCACTGTAGCGCACAAGTCTGAAGAAAGCCCTAGAGAAAAGACTGTGTGAAGAAATTACTGTTTTAGAGGTGGGAGGAAAACGCCAAAAGAATATTCTGGGGGAAAAACCACAGAATCAGGTTGGCACTGGAGACCCAATCCACATGTGGAACTGGGTGGGAATGGAACCCAGGCCATGGAGGTTCCAACCTGAGTCCCCAAACAGGGGAGTGTCAAACTTACACAAGAGGGTAGAAGAAGTAGCCATGTAAATAATGCAAACATATTCATGACTAATATTGGCCTATCACCGTTTGAGAGTTAGCCACACCCCTTAGACAACCCTATGGAAGTTTGTACGTTAAGTTTTGTTTGTCTTAGATTTTGCGCGTTCCGCGTCCATTTGCATTATCATGTAGCTGGACAATAGGTTTATTACTAAGTTCTATTCGTTTAAATCTGCTGTCATTCTGGGGTATTTGTGTACATGTATGTGTAAACCCGGGCTACGTAATTTATTTGATAATATTGTACCAAACTTTTGTTTCAAAGAAAACTAGCTGTTTTGAGTCATGTTCTAAAACAAGTTGGTTTACACCTAAATGAAGTTTAATCTTATTTAATGCAAAATTATTTCTTCTTTTTTCCTAGTCAAAGAAGAAAAAGAAGTCCAAAAAGAAATCCCAACGCATGCGCTCCCTGACGGCCAGGGAATCACTCCAGCCTGCGCTGATGGGCCATCCTTACCCCCCATCCCAGATGAATCTGGCCAACAGCATGCCCCAGACCTACCTTGAACAGCACCTAGTCCGGAGGTTTAGCCTACCCCTGGTCACCCCAGCAGGAATGCACCCCCAATACCCTGTAGCTGGTAGGTAGTCTATTACTGTGAACTCACCTTGACACGCAAATGGCTGTTGGCAATCGTGACTTCATGCCATTTACGTGGCGCGAGTTTGCACATGTGTTGTTTATTTGACACTGGGTTGAACATTTTGACAGAGGTCCGTGTGCGGGACACGTTCTGTGCACACACATATTTGCGTGCATTTAGCATGAAGCAGGCACATCTTATTTAATTCTAAATGCACACAGAGCTATATCGTCTTTGCGTGAGTGCTGGTGTCAGATGTACCACTAAAATGAGTTTTGCAATGAGGAAGGAGTTGTTGCTTGTGCATGGATTCCAATATGCTTACTGGAGCTCTTGCGAGTGGTCACATGGCAACATAACATATGTGATGTGATCAAGCTAAATGAGTCGTTTGTCGACCCTGGTCAAAATTTTTTTATTACAGATTTGAAAAAAAGCACAATCTCAGCATTACTCATGTGAAAACCGCATGCTGGTACCATCTTAGTTCAAAAATTATGGAAGTCGGAACACCAAGAGATGTGATGAAGTGATGTAATGAAGTGGCCCTATTTTGGCCTGTATCTCCAAATGAAAATCCCCGACAAACGACTCATGTAGCTTGATCGCATCACATATATTGTTCCAGCGTGGAGTCAAAGATGTCACCGTCCAAAACTTACTTTTCAGAATTCATCTAATTTATGAAATCTGTTAGTTAAAACATGTCCAAACACATTGCAAAACATTCATATCTGCAAAATTTGTCCATAATTGCTTTGGTTTTTTTTAAACATATTTTTCCAACTTTCATTTCAAACACAGAGCCTGTTGAGGACCTGTTCTTCACCCAGCAGTTTCCCACAGTGCAACGGCCCGTCACGAATCCCCAGGATGGACAAGCCCGTCAGTGGCGCCCGATCCCCCCTCCCGCGGCCATCAGCTTCGACTCGCCCACCCCGGCTGTAGACTACCACTCCTCCTCGGCCGAGAGCCTGGTTGAGATCCCCCTCGGTCGGGCATATCACAGAGGGTCCTTCAGCCATCCTGCACAGAAAGCCTTGCTGCCCGGCGGGAACCAGTTAGTAACCGGTTACCAGCATCCCTTAGAGAAGCGGCACCTGAGTCACAACAGCCATCCCAACTTGACGACGAGTGGTAACCAGCGGCAACCAGACATCAAGCAACTTGGTGCCGGAGTGACCCATCTGGATAGCAACACGAACAATATGTCTCACTTAAAAATATCCAAAAGGACATCTGCAAGAACTAAGAGAAAAGAAGTGTCGAATGTTTCGCCTGCTACCGGACAGCGGAATGAAATAGACAGGACAAGAAGGCATTCCATCAAGGAGCCACTGCTAGTGCAGACCGTTCAGGAAGCAGAATCACAAATAGTGCCAGATGCTGACAGACTCGATAAAAAACCTGGAAACTCAGGGAGGAGGGCCAAAAAGCAAAGATCGCCACAGTCTGTGGAGACAACGGCTGAAGTACACCGGCAACTGGATGATCACTCAGAGTCGGCCTTGCAATCTTCAAGTGATAGCCAGCAGCGGAGGATGCCAGGGCAAGACCAAGAGGCAAAGGTTGACATAAACCCCCATCTCCAGGACCGCACCACATCGGACACCAGAACTCAGAACGGGCAAGCGCCACCACCCAAGGCTGCCCCAGTGGCCGCGCCAAGGAGGCGAACTCTAAAGTTGGGCCAAGAGCCCTCGGGAAGTCAGACCTCTCTCCACAGCTCCTCCTCCCGTCAGCATCTCCTGGAAGATGCGGACAGAGATAGTAATCGTCCGTCATCAGGAAGATCCAGGAAGGAGCAGCTTCAGGAAAACGGCTCCCACGATGCCGTATCCCTCCCCGGTTCCATCCCTGAGGTCCCACCTTTGGATCTCGGCCCCCTGGCAGACACCCAGGACTCAAAGGCTGCCTCGGTGACTCACAGACCGCCTTCCGACCGTGGGTCGCCCGCAGATGAGCAACTAGTTGAGGGTTACTCCTCTGAGGAAATGAACTCAAAGCCCATGTCACGGAGACGATCCTTACTGCTGCGTTATTAGAGCAAGTTAAAACTTGCACTTGATGTTCCTGTCCCTTTCTTTGTTTTCAAGGACCATTTAACGTTTTTCGAAAATAGTACTGGATCTATAGAAGATATTTCATCAGTGAAAGTATTACGTTAGTGCCAAAGCACATAAGATTACTACTTTTCTATTTTCATTGTACAAGTGCACTTCTTGGACATGGAATAACAACTGCTGATACTATAATAATAATAATAGGATTTATAAAGCGCCATTCCATCTAGATCATGGTGCTAAAGCAACACAAGATAATGAAAACAGACATATTAACATGAAATTGGAAACAGGTGTGCTATTAAGTGTTTTCTGAGTAATGAAATAGTCTCCTGTGATCTGATGCTTGAGGGTATGGTGTTCCAGAGCTTAGGGCCCGCAATAACGTAGGCACGGTCAGTGGAGGTGTTCTTGGATACAATCGTGGCAATAGTCAGAAGTACATATTTCTGTAAATCACCTACATAGTTGGAAAACAGGTTTCGCTGCATTGTAGTGTACTATAAGCTATGCACATCATTATAACCTACATACACTTATTCCCTAAAATTTGCTGTTCAGCTGCTGGCTACAGACCAACTCAATTTGCGTCAGAAACTGATCAGAAGAATGCAAGATTCACTTCAATGTTATGGAATATCTCTGGCTCGAGTTGATATTTTCAGAAAAGATTGCATCAAAGTCTTAGTCTGTGGAATGTCCGCTTGCACACAAGGGCCTACGATGTGCGTGCAGATCCGGCAATTGTTATGCAAAACAACACCGCGTCTTGACCTCGAGATTCTGACCTTTTAGCGGGCGCCTTCTGTTGGGTCTTTGGTAACCCGTTGTTGTATTACAAAAAGATGGCAGTAATAAATTGACCAATCAACAACTCAGTTCACATTTCTGGCCAAAATGATGTCACAATATCCAAAGTCAACTCCGATTGGCTGGCGGGCGGGGACGCATAAATTTGCAGTGCACACACATATCAGACATTGTTGCGGGGATAGCGTGCGGGCTCCGTTAAACAATGGATGATACTCAAACAAAGTCTCAGGAAGTTTCTTTATGTTGGCAAAAAGTCAAACTAGTATTACAATCTCAATTGGAGAATTACTACATTCATTCACATTGTACTCTGTAGTACAATATATACATATGTATACTAGTGAGGTTTGCGTTAACACTACGTGGAATAACCTCTTTTGAGAAGATGTGTGGTTCTGAAAAGAACCGGTTGGTTGTGAAATTCGATGTTCCGATCAGTATGCTCAGATTGATTACCTTCGTATATGTACATTTACATATAATATACATGTATGATACAGCATACGGTGCTTAATACACAGTGCACTTGGGGCTTTCTATCTGATAATCTTTCTGCTATTGAAAAAAAAAACACTTTCAACTGCCTTCACGATAAGGACGACATCAATTAAAGGGAATATACATCATTTGCTTTTGCTGTAATTTTCAGAAATGGATGGAATTGGGGGGTTGGAAATATAAAGCAAATATAGTTACACTGACTTTTTTGAGGTTTTGGGTTCGAAAATGCTATAAAAACCAAGAAAAACAATCATTTTCCTGTAGTCTGGTTCCCTGACTCTATATAAGAAGAAACAGGGCAGTTTACCTACATCTAGCTGGCTTGTACCCGTTCATAGGTGTGTAATCGATTGCAAACAAGTGCGATGGTCAATTGGGGCCAGTATTTGAAAGAAATGCTGGTCGGCCGACCAGCGTTGGAAATTGATACAAAAATACCACTTTTCTTGAAAATGACAGTATACCAGGTGCCATGATTTTACAGGATGCTTTACACTGTCATTCACTAACAGTCCAGCAAGGTATTTCAAAATGATTTGGTAGTTTTATTTTTTGATGTTTGCAAATGCTGTATTTTCCCTTTAAACTATTGTTAAAATTAAAGGTATAGTCCATCATTTGTAATTTGTGCATTTTGTTCGTTTGAAGCAACAAAAGTGCTCAAGATCTAAAGAAGGGTGCTGAACAACTGACCTGATAAAGTTTCAGCTCAGCTTTAGCTGTATTTTTCAAGAAAAACAACCTTCTAGGATCTCGATTTCAAATCAAAAGTTGCTGAATTATGTTTTGAATTGGGCCTGAATTCAGCGTCCGAGACACGTTCTCACTGAGCCGATTTCAGCTAAGCGATGTCGCGCACTGATCCGATGAATTTTAGCAACCGCGCGCACGTGTGTGTCGTGCCAATGCTTGCGCGTGCTTCGCCGAATAACAAAACGAACTATTAATTTGAATTTCCTACGGTACTTCTTAAAGGCCTTCGTTTGTTGATTTCTTCAAAATGACAGCTTGCCAGAAAGAATAATTTCACAGGGAGTTTAGTCCCATTACTATCTTTCAACCACTCCATGTTTCAGCCAAGTATGTTTTTCAACAATAATTACGCCAGTTACTTTTTGGATAGCTGCAAATGATGGACTCTGGCTTTAAAGGCCAGTGCAACCTGTACAGTTTGAAAGGGTAAAGTGGTGAGTTTGGGAGAGGCAACATTGGATTGAATGACTTGACATTTGCTGCATAAATTTTATTTTTTTATATCCATTTGGCTGTAGATGAACATAACTACATGTATATGTAGCTCGAACTATAGACCCCTTGCGTTTGATGTCACATTTGGAGGACATAAACCTCCCCCAGTGAGGGCACACAGTGGATGGGGTCAATGGATACATGTGTAGTTGTTATTAATACTCAACCATAGAACGGAAGATGCAATTTTAAAACGGACTGTGCAGCGGCCACGACTGAGCAAAACTGTTTTTAAAAAATAAATTTATAAATAAATCAAAAATGTAAATGACAATCATGCTTGGCTTTTAAAAATTATTAACTAAGCCATGAAGTCTCTCATTAGAATGTAACTTTCATATTTCTTTAAAAAGTCCTTGTCTAAATTTTGATAAGTCTGTCAGGTTAACTCTATGATTTTTTTCGCCTTGAGCCATTTATTGCAAAAGTCTCATCTTCTTGACATTAAATACATACAAAATATCTAATTTTTCCTTAAAATGAGAACGTTTGCTGGACAGTGTGTATAGTTCTTATTCTAAGTACCGGTATTTATTTATTGAACATAAACCAAACAACCAAAGAGTATGAAAGTTGTTTCTCATATTGAATGGACATTGAATGAAATTTAACCCGTTTGTTTAATGGTTTTTAGAAATGCAGTTATGATTGGTCATAACTTTGTCTTTTAAAGTGTACTGTCAAAGTGCAGAAAATGATTTTAAAGCTCAGTAAACTTTTGGTAATTTCCATCTAACAAATTTACTTTAATTGTTGAAAAAGCACTTTTCAACAGGTAACATCAGAATTTTCTTCTTAATAATGGAAACAAGCAAAAGCACATAGAATAGGCTTTGAATTGTCAAAATGAGAGAGAAAAACAAATTTTAAATTTGAGTGCCATCAGATTATTCACATTCCTTTTCAATTCCAGAGTAGTACACGTATATTTTTATGAAACTCTACATGTTGTTTGTCAAACTAAATAACAAGGAAGTGTTGATACGTGTATGTACACTGTGAATGAACATTTTATTAAAAAGATATTTTGTGAAAATTTAATTTTTGTCTCGGCCACGTTTATTGGGAAAGGTTTGGGTAACAGAATACCAAAGCTTCTTGTGCATGTGATCTGATACACCGTGCCCTCTGGAGACATGCACACAATAGGGAACAAAAGATTGTATACGTCTCCACGGGGCAATTTCTATAGATGAATACGTCTCCACAAGGTTTTCACGAAATAGATATATGGATTTTACTCAAAAACTAGGAATTTCCAAGGTATGTTGATCCGTCGCAAATGGTAGAGTTTTAGAAAAGGGATAAGTCTGAATTTCAGCCAAGGAAATTAATTCTGGTTAAAATAAGAGCATTTTGAAACTGTACTTTCAAACTCGAAAACTAGTACACGAGAACAAAGATATGTCTCAAGGATACAAATTTCAGTATGCGTGTTGGATGATTCTTGTGCACTAAAAAGTGGAATTTTTTGTTGGACCTTTTGAGTGGTTGCATCTTAGTTATGGAGATTTGAATTTCTGAGTGACATCCCATAAACTATAAGTTAGAAGTTCTGTTGGAAAGATTGTGCTAGAAATCAGATTTTTTTTTTTTTTACAGTTGTGTCTACTCGAATGGGCAGCTACAAATTTTGAAGGGGGGGGGGGGGGAGGGGAGCCTCCCCACAGTATGTTCCAGGTAGTACACAGATGACGCCTGCTTTAAATAGCGAATTTTTTTATTTTGCTGTCCAATAACAAGAGTTCTGCAACACTTGAGATACAGTTTGGTAACAACATTTTCACAAAAGTGAAATAAAGGTGAATATTTTTTTAAGGATCACAAATATTAGACAAATCGCTTCTTTAATAAAAATTTTATTCAGAGATTTGCTGACAATTCATTGCACATTTTTCAAAACTTAATGAAGGTACTAATTTATACAGAAAATATTCAACGTTTAATCTTTGAAATTAATATTTTTTTTTCAGTTATAATCAAAAATGGCAAGCATGATACAGTGCTACTGTGATATCCTTACTAAAGATCAGAAAACTCAACCTCTAAATAATGTGACGCTTGTAAAAAAAAAAATTAAATTTGCCTCAACTATTGATACCCTGTACAGGGCAAGTTAAAAAACCGAAACCCAAATGTTGGGACAATTATTTTAGGGAAGTTCTGCATGTAGCATTTTCAAAATCTAGGATGTGAAAGCCCAATTCATAAGCTTTCCTTTAGTACACGAATCTTTCAAATCACTCACATACTTTTCAAGTTACGGAATTTTAAACACAACTACCGTTTTAAGGTTCTGTCCACAGATCACAAAAAAGCTCAGTGTTTTTTTCAGCAAAACGAAAACAAATCACATAGGGATGTGTGAATTGTTTTCGTTTTGCTGAAAGAGCTTACACCATTTTTGTGACCCGTGGACAGAACCTTAAAACGGTGGTTGTGTTTAAAATTCTGTACTTTGAAAAGAACATAAGTGATTCGAATGATTCTTGTACTAAAAGAAAGCTTATGAATTAGGCTTTCATATCCTAGATCTTGAAAGTGCTACATGCAGAACTTCCCTCAAACAATGGTCCCAACATTTGGGTTTCGTTTTTTTTTTACTCACCCTGTACTCAAGTTGGAAAGAAGTCACCAGAGCAGCTTACTCACACTGGTCGTATGCAGCTTACTTTTACATTTACACATTATTATACTCAGTTTGATGTGCAAAATCCAATAAGTTTTTTAAAGGTAGAGTATATCATTTGTCAGTTGTGCATTTCTTTCGTTTAAAGCAACAAAAGTGCTCAAAATCTAAAGAAGGGTGCTGAACAACTAACCTGATGAACTGTAAGCTCGGTGAATGCTGTATATTCCGAGAAACCAATATTCTAGGAGCTTCGATTTTCAATTCAAAAGTTGGCAAGTCACGTTTTACATTGCGCCCGAAATCAGCGATTTTAACGGCAAAAGTTGAATGATTTATTTTTAGCAATTTTTCCTTGTTTGACCCCGATGTGAAAAATGACCAGTTCCCATTATCTTTAAGACAATTTTGAGTCACATATATGTAATTTGCATCACTACTACGTATATTAATACAGAATCTGTAATTGTTTCATGCCTCGTATATGATGTATTTTTTAGCCAAAAGAGGGCGCCCTTGCTACATGTATGTACAACGCACAGCTGTCCATACACGGTTTGGCACACCTGTTTTTAGTCAACGTAAACCTCACTGAATAATGACCCTGTCACATGACTTACATTTTGCTCAATTGGTTTGCTCTTCGCATGTGTCCCATAACTTCAATCCAGTCCAGATTCATCCGCAAAGCTTCATCCTCCAAAATCTCCAGCAGACTGTCTCAATTTCTATATTCTTAGCTATTAAATTTTTTTTAGAACAAGAAGGTTTCTTTTGAATCAGTTTTCAGATGGACTTAGTTGTTAATAGCACTCACATGCTAAGGGAGTGAGTTGTTTACCATCTTGCACACTGGCTGAAGTTTGTGTACACATGCCTGCCAAAATGCCCGTCAAATGCCCAACTTCCGCAGACCTTTTGTCAGAAAGCTTAACGCACTTTCCCGAATCCACCACTATAATGGAAAGCAACAACGACTTAGTATTTGTACTTAAACTCTGAGCTGCACTGCCCTCACAATCCTCCACAAATAACCTTCTTAGACTTTGATGGATTTGAAGGGTCCTGAAGTGTTAGGGTTTGTAGGGTGTTCCTACAAGCGCAGACGTCACCAGTACTCTCCCGCAGTGTTCAGCACGGCAAGCGCGGCCGCACCGATCCCTGCCGAGATCGCCCAGACAGCCAGTTTGATGACGCCGCTGCTGCGGCTACCCGTCTGCGAGTCTGCCGTCGTTGGTGTGCCTGCTGCCCCGTTGATTCTAGAGGACATGTGCTGCAGTACCTTGTCTGGTCGCTGGTACAGGGTCTCCAGTTCAAAGTCGGGGTGCTTGGACATACTGGTGCTGTCATGGTTGAAGAGAAAACAAAAAAAAATAGGAATTTTTGATGAGGTGTCACAGAGCTGAGATTGATATTCCATCACAAGACAGTCTCAAATTCATCACGTCAAATCAAAGTCCAAGACAAGTCAAATCACAAGTTCATCATAGTCCCTCACAAGTCGCATCACAAGTCGATCATAAATAAAGTCAGAAGCAACAGGATAATAACAATGAGGATGTTTTTGTTACAATTAATTTGCATTGCGACTTGACAATGCAAGTAGTGCTCATAGCGCCTGTGCATTAGCATCAATTGGGGCCAATTTCACGGCGCAGCTAAGCACACAAATTTGCTTAGCACCCAAAAAGTCTGGCTTGCAAAAGCAGGTTACCAGCAAAAACTCCACATGATGTATATTGCTCATGATTAGTATTCAGCTGTTGTTTGCTTAGCATGAAAATCCCGTGGATTTTTGGCTGGTAACCTGCTTTTATAAGGCCAAAAAAAAAAATAAGTCGGTCTCTGGTCAGCGCGCGCGTCGATTTTAATCATGCGCGTCGATCTATTTTTTTTTCCAAAATGTTCCGCGGCAGCTCCAACAGCGCCCTCTATTTCTGCACCTTCTCAATTTTTTTTACCAAAAAGCACCAAGGAATGGGAAATCGCACCAAGGCAAATTATGGAGGACACCAATGTCCATGAGGACACCAAAAAAGCAAAATAGTGCCCCACCTTGTCTGTACAATCCAAGCTTGAAGAAAGAAAAAAAAAAGCAAAAAAAAAAAAAAAAAGCCGCGTGGTCGCGTCAATTCCGGAACTTTGGTCTGACCAGAGACCGAATATTTTTTTTTTTTGGCCTAAGCCAGACTTTTTTTTTGCGCTAAGCAAATTGGTGTGCTTAGCAGCGCCGTGAAATTGGGTCCTGTGCCATCGGCAATGTTATCGAGAGTCCCTTCCAGTGGTATCCCCCAAACTTCATCTTCGTAACTGTTGAGGGGGTACTTGAGGGGGGCACAGACACCAAAAGGACTATTAAACAGGCAGGGTGGTTTTGTATGGTACAGGAACTAATGTAGTTTAATACCTTAGTTTGTATTGTAGCCTGGCTTCTTTGGCCATCTCGGCCGGCGGATATTGCACAAACAGGTCCCCTGCCTGGCTGACCAGGTACTCCATGGGCAGGTTACCGGGGATCTTGGACAGGAGGCTGTGGACGAAAGCCATGTCGCACTCACAGGCCAGCACCTCCTCCTGACGATATAGTACGATCTGAACATCCATTTGAATGACGGGGAATTAAAATGAGCATAAAAAAAAAAAACCTTGCAGGTACCATGAACAGAGAAGATGGCACTTCAACTCGTTACACTGTAATCATTTGTAAGAGGTCTGTGGGAGGGACCCACAACGTGCAGTTCCAAGCATACCGGTACCTCGTACGGTCTGAATTCAAGCCAATGCATGCGCGTGAGGTATGCTTGGAATTTCCTGGGTAGCACTGCCAAAGTTCCCAAGACTGGATACTGCACTTGTCAGGGACCGGCTGAATGAACCAATACTATGGAAAGGGCCACTTTACCATACTGACTTCCCTTCACCATCCTGACCCCTGCTTCGCCACCTTGACCCCTGCTTCGCCACCTTGACCCCTGCTTCACCATCCTGACCCCCGCTTCACCATCCTGACCCCCACTTCACCACACTGACCCTGCTTCACCACTCTGACACTGATCCCTGCTTCACCACCCTGACCCCGGCTCCACCATCCCGACCCCTACTTCACCATCCTGACCCCTGCTTCACCATCCTGACCCCAATACTTACTGCAGCTGCTAAGTAAACAGGCATGAGTGGGTGGCAGGCAAGGAAGAAATCATAGAGTCGCACCACACTACGGAAGTCATTCAGTACGTGGCCGTACCAGGTGATGAGCCACGCTAGGGCAAAGACAGTGCCCACTTCAGACCTTAAACGTAAACAGAAAATGCATAAAAAAGTGTTACTGGGGAGCGAATAGTAATGTTCTTATGTAGCACTTTATTCCAAAGGCCTTAAAGTGCTTCACAATTATTACCCCTGTTCATCAGGCCATGGGACCATTTTTATGCAGCAGCTCGAGATCAGCACAATCTGGTCTCTACCCTCACAGGTACCAAGGTATACTCCCTGATGAAAAGAGGCAATTGTAGTAAAGTGTCTTGCCCAAGAACACAAGCACCATGTTCCCTGTGAGGGTTTGAACCCATGTATCATCTCACATGAGTCTAACACGCCTACCTCTAGTTGTTTTGTTTTCCAAGCCTAATTGACTTCAACTATGACTTTTAAATAAATGTACAAAACTTCTTTAATGAACACGATATTTCTAGGGTTTGCACCCAGAAAAGAAGTTGCTCATTTGCTAAAAATTATGGCCAATATAGCGATGATATTTCTTGGCATTCTATTCCTAACCTTTCCATGAAGTCGTAGAGCTCCACATTAGCTTTCTTGATGATTGGCAGTAGGTAATTCAGCATGTGTCTGGTGCGATCCATGGTGGAATCCATGAAGTCTCTGTATACACTATACCATGCAACATATGGGACCAAAAAAATTGGACTGGTATGTGTGTAGCTACATACACTCTACACAAAGAAACTAGAATAAAGCGCGCCTTTTGAAAAAAAAATAACGAAAAAAAAAGGCTGCACAAAAGACCGATGTACACGCATCTACCCTGTACATTAAAGGCTACACGTAGCTACCCTGTACAAACAAAAGTCTACACGCATGTACCCTGCACAGAAAAAGTCTACACGCATCTACCCTGTACTTAAAAAGTCTACACGCATCTACCCTGTACAGAAAAAGTCTACACGCATCTACCCTGTACAGAAAAAGTCTACACGTTTCTACCCTGTACAGAAAAAAGTCTACACGCATCTACCCTGTACAGAAAAAAGTCTACACGCATCTACCCTGTACAAAAAAAAAGTCTACACGCATCTACCCCGTACAGAAAAAGTCTACACGTATCTACCCTGTACAGAAAAAGTCTACACGTATCTACCCTGTACAGAAAAAGTCTACACGTATCTACCCTGTACAGAAAAAGTCTACACGCATCTACCCTGTACAGAAAAAGTCTACAGGCATCTACACCGTACAGAAAAAGTTTACACGTATCTACCCTGTACAGAAAAAGTCTACACGCATCTACCCTGTACAGAAAAAGTCTACAGGCATCTACACCGTACAGAAAAAGTCTACACGTATCTACCCTGTACAGAAAAAGTCTACACGCATCTACCCTGTACAGAAAGAAGTCTACACGCATCTACCCTGTACAGAAAAAGTCTACACGCATCTACCCTGTACAGAAAAAGTCTACACGCATCTACCCTGTACAAAAAAAAAGTCTACACGCATCTACCCTGTACAGAAAAAGTCTACACGCATCTACCCTGTACAGAAAAAGTCTACACGCATCTACCCTGTACAGAAAAAGTCTACACGCATCTACCCTGTACAGAAAAAGTCTACACGCATCTACCCTGTACAGAAAAAAGTCTACACGCATCTACCCCGTACAGAAAAAGTCTACACGCATCTACCCTGTACAGAAAAAGTCTACAGGCATCTACACCGTACAGAAAAATATCTACACGTATCTACCCTGTACAGAAAAAGTCTAGAGGCATCTACCCTGTACAGCAAAAGTCTACACGTATCTACCCTGTACACAAAAAGTCTACAGGCATCTACCCTGTACTTAAAAAGTCTACACGTATCTACCCTGTACACAAAAAGTCTACACGCATCTACCCTGTACTTAAAAAGTCTACACGTATCTACCCTGTACAGAAAAAGTCTACACGCATCTACCCTGTACAGAAAAAGTCTACACGCATCTACCCTGTACACAAAAAGTCTACAGGCATCTACCCTGTACTTAAAAAGTCTACACGTATCTACCCTGTACAGAAAAAGTCTACACGCATCTACCCTGTACTTAAAAAGTCTACACGTATCTACCCTGTACAGAAAAAGTCTACACGCATCTACCCTGTACAGAAAAAGTCTACACGCATCTACCCTGTACACAAAAAGTCTACTGGCATCTACCCCGTACTTAAAAAGTCTACACGTATCTACCCTGTACAAAAAAAGTCTACACGTATCTACCCTGTACAGAAAAAGTCTACACGCATCTACCCTGTACACAAAAAGTCTACAGGCATCTACCCTGTACTTAAAAAGTCTACACGTATCTACCCTGTACAAAAAAAAGTCTACACGCATCTACCCTGTACAGAAAAAGTCTACAGGCATCTACCCCGTACTTAAAAAGTCTACACGTATCTACCCTGTACAAAAAAAGTCTACACGTATCTACCCTGTACAGAAAAAGTCTACACGTATCTACCCTGTACACAAAAGTCTACAGGCATCTACCCCGTACTTAAAAAGTCTACACGTATCTACCCTGTACAAAAAAAGTCTACACGTATCTACCCTGTACCAAAAAAGTCTACACGTATCTACCCTGTACAGAAAAAGTCTACAGGCATCTACCCGTACTTAAAAAGTCTACACGTATCTACCCTGTACAAAAAAAGTCTACACGTATCTACCCTGTACAGAAAAAGTCTACACGCATCTACCCTGTACACAAAAAGTCTACAGGCATCTACCCTGTACTTAAAAAGTCTACACGTATCTACCCTGTACAAAAAAAAATCTACACGCATCTACCCTGTACAGAAAAAGTCTACAGGCATCTACCCCGTACTTAAAAAGTCTACACGTATCTACCCTGTACAAAAAAAAGTCTACACGTATCTACCCTGTACAGAAAAAGTCTACACGTATCTACCCTGTACACAAAAAGTCTACACGCATCTACACCGTACCGAAAAAGTCTACACGCATCTACCCTGCACAGAAAAAGTCTACACGTATCTACACCGTACAAAAAAAGTGTCTACGCATCTACCCTGTACAAAAAAAGTCTACAGGCATCTACCCTGTACAAAAAAAGTCTACAGGCATCTACCCTGTACAAAAAAAGTCTACACGCATCTACCCTGCACAGAAAAAGTCTACACGTATCTACCCTGTACACAAAAAGTCTACACGCATCTACACCGTACCTAAAAAGTCTACACGCATCTACCCTGTACAAAAAAAAGTCTACACGCATCTACCCTGTACAGAAAAAGTCTACAGGCATCTACCCCGTACTTAAAAAGTCTACACGTATCTACCCTGTACAAAAAAAGTCTACACGTATCTACCCTGTACAGAAAAAGTCTACACGTATCTACCCTGTACACAAAAAGTCTACAGGCATCTACCCTGTACTTAAAAAGTCTACACGTATCTACCCTGTACACAAAAAGTCTACAGGCATCTACCCTGTACTTAAAAAGTCTACACGCATCTACCCTGTACAGAAAAAGTCTACACGCATCTACCCTGTACTTAAAAAGTCTACACGCATCTACCCTGTACAGAAAAAGTCTACAGGCATCTACCCTGTACAAAAACAGTCTACAGGCATCTACCCTGTACAAAAAAAGTCTACAGGCATCTACCCTGTACAAAAAAAGTCTACAGGCATCTACCCTGTACACAAAAAGTCTACACGCATCTACACCGTACCTAAAAAGTCTACACGCATCTACCCTGCACAGAAAAAATCTACACGTATCTACACCGTACAAAAAAGTCTCTACGTATCTACCCTGTACAAAAAAAGTCTACAGGCTACCCTGTACAAAAAAAGTCTACACGCATCTACCCTGCACAGACAAAGTCTACACGCATCTACCCTGTACAAAAAAGTCTACAGGCATCTACCCTGTACAAAAAAAGTCTACGCGCATCTACCATGCACATAAAAAGTCTATACGCATCTACCCTGTACAAAAAAAAGTCTACAGGCATGTACCCTGTACAAAAAAAGTCTACACGCATCTACCCTGTTCCAAAAATGTCTACCAAAATAAATGAAACACAGATAACTGACACACTTGGGGATTGAACTCGACACAAATAATTTAAAATACCAGACCAGAAAATACTAAGAACAAGTCACGTACTATTTTATTAAGGAAAGTATCTTGAAACGAAACAAACTGGAAACCAAAGCCTAAATAGAAACATTAAAAAAACAAAAACAATGCCAAACCAAACCTAAAGGCAATGATAAAACCAAGTTAAAAAGTAACTGACGTAATATTGTGGAAAAATGTGCTTCGTTGAAAGATAGTAAGGGAACTGAATTCCCTGTGAATTTATTTTTCTGGCAAGCTGTCATTTGGAAGAAATTTCCTTTTAGTAGCTCAGTTTTTTTTATTCGGCGAAGCGCGTGCAAGCGTTGGCATACGCACACGCGCGCGAGGTTGCTATAATTCGCCGGATTGGTGCGCGACATCGCGTAGCTGCATTCAGCTCAGTGAGAACGTGTCTCGGACGCTGAATTCATGCCCAATTCAAAACATGATTCAGCAACTTTTGATTTGAGATCGTAGAATGCTGACTTTCTTTGAATATACAGCTGAAGCTGAGCTGAAACTTCATCAGGTTACTTGTACCCTTCTTTAGATTGTGAGCACTTTTGTTGCTTCAAACGAACAAAATGCACAAATTACAAATGATGGACTATATCTTTCAAACTAGCACAGAGCGTCAAAAGCATGAACCTTTGTTATGCAATTTGCCTGAAACCCAAGAATCAAGAAAATACAAGGAAAAAAACCAGAATACCATAAAGGAATATGTCAAAAGAAAGTCAAATTGGTTATGTAGTACAGTCTATCTTGTATTTGCGTAATGGAGAACAAGGCATTATAACTATGTGCATATATTGTACCAATCATAAAAGGGGAAAATGCCGTTTGGGAAAAACAGATTTGCGGCCGGGCGACGAATTTGCAATGGGAAATTGCAACTGGGAAATTCCTAACATTGAATATTCGCCAGTGACTCCGTATCCGATTTTTATTTTGGAACACATTTCTTTTGTAAAAAAGGGGTAAATTTCTGAAGGAATACAAATACAACAAGATATTATAGGAAGTTAAAATAAAACTATAGCGCTACGGTTACATGGTTACTTGACGGATTTAAGTTTGTTCATGCATTTCTGAGCCAGTTAATGAGACTCAACAAAATAACACGGGATATGGTTAAACAGACGTCACTAACAAATTATATCGAACAACAAACGCCTACTTTTACAAAAAATATATACAAGATTAAATACTGTTCATAATGGAATATAAGTGAATATTTTTCCCTGCGGACTTTCTGCAGAGTGTTTTTTAATAATATATAACATAGTTACAACAAACGCAGTGCGTTTGTAAGACCCACGACTTAAGAGAAAATCTCAATGTATCAATCATCAACAACTTGTGAAAAGCTTCAGTGCTGCAGTTCCTGAAATATGGATTTTTTGTTCTGACATTAAAGGGACACTAGGTCCTGGAACAGCCCAATTGGGCTACAAAACGCGCTTTGAATGAGATCATGATGATAATCGGAAATAACATTTAAAAGTAGG